CTTTACGAAATCGAGCCTAAACAGCCAATCAAGTCGCTACTTACTTGTGCCAGTCCACGGGAGTTTAAGTAACTAACCAGACGATTTCTCATCAGCACGCTCGGCGACCACGTCTTCTGCCACTGTTAACACATCGACACCAATGGTGTCTAGCCAAACGTCTTGTGTTTACAGCGAAGAAACTAGGGAAAATTTAGATCTCGTGTTATGTTTTCAGATGACTCCAGATTCTCTCTGGACTTTCTAGATAGGCGTGGACGAGTCTGGAGGCGTCCTAACGAACGTTGTGCGAACGTGACCATGGGGCCGGGTCACAACTACTGCCAGAACCACACTGTGTGTTGTCCATGGAAGAATCACTGGACAGTACTACAGAGGCGATAGTTTTGTCGTTTGAACGCCATGATGGTCCACGTTTGTCTTCTATGACGATAAAGGGGCGGTCGGGTAGCCTTGTGGTTAAAGCGTTCGATTCCCGACATGAGTTCAAAGTGTGAAGCCCATTTCAGGTGACCCCAGCCGTGATATTGCTGCTGGAATATTGCTAAAAGCGGCGTAAAATCAAACTCACTCGCTCCAGGGCGACAACGTTCGTGCCCACCGTGCACGTGTCGTGACTCACAACCTCCAGCAGTAACACATCACCAAAATGCAAGGCCAGCAATGAGTCTCTCCCCTCTCTCCAACACCCACCCACCCCCCTTTCTCCCATAGAGACTGATATTGGGAGACTCCCCCAAATTGTCAATGGGAGATGGCCAGTCGTGGATAAATACGGAAGCGTAGTAGGGCCACGATGAAAATTGTTTTTGTCCAAGTACCTCCTACGTAGGACTTATCATCTCCTACGAAGGACTTACTATCTCCTGCGTAGGAGATACTGAGTCGTATGTAGGAGATAGTGATTCTAGGCCATACTAAGTCCTACGTATGAGATAGTAAGTCCTACGTAGGAGATAAGAAGTCCTACGTAGGAGTTATTAAGTCCTACGTAGGAGATACTGAGTCGTATGTAGGAGATAGTGATTCTAGGCCATACTAAGTCCTACGTAAGAGATAAGAAGTCCTACGTAGGAGATAAGAAGTCCTACGTAGGAGATAATAAGTCCTACGTAGGAGATAGTAAGTCCTACGTGGGAGATAGTAAGTCCTACGTAGGAGATAATAAGTCCTACGTAGGAGATAGTAAGTCCTACGTGGGAGAGATAGTAAGTCCTACGTAGGAGATACTTACACACAAAAAAATGTCACCGTGGCCCTACTACGCTTCCGTAGGATAAATGACTTCTCAAACTTTCGGGGTTTTTTTGGCTTCACACCCGTGTCGTCTATCTTAGCTGTTTGCACCCTTACAATACACCGCCAACATATTCTGTTGATTGTCATGTTAATTCACACCCGGCCCCTTCCTTTTTCTTATCCACCCATCACCATACTCTCGATAGCTTTGTATTTCTGTAATCATCTGTTATTTTCGAATATCCCCTACTTGTTTTGGAAAGTATATTAGCAACAAGAAACGCGGTAACTGGAATGGTATGCCAACTAATTTACTCAATACTAATTAGTTCGTAAGTAGGGATATTTTACGACCGCATCATTTAATGAACATACATCATATACATGTAGGTAGGTAGGTATTCTTTTTCCTGTGAATGATTGGATAGCTGCACATGATTCAGAAGCAGGTACTCGCCGATTGAACAACACCCGTTATACATAACAGTACAGTTGAACTTTACACAGGCAGACAATAGCGTAGCTGGTGTAAAATATGACCACACTCAGAGAGAACCGTACATGTAGCCTTGCACCAAGGCTGTACTGAAAGAAAAGTTCATGGATGTGTGGTAATTCTATCCTCCAAATAGACAAGTCTAGATATGTGGACAGTAAGGACTCTTGAAGGGACAATTTGTTCGTATTATTTACATAATTTAGAAATTATGATTGAAACTAATAAGTATTGACTAAGAGACTTGTGCAAGTCTACCGTATATGGTACACCACAGTAGGGACACAGGGACACACAGTTCCACAGGCAGGGTCGTCAGTCATCTGTATTAAATATATTCCTATATAGGGAGTCCGCGCAGTTAGCCAGGGTTGTGTGTTGAGCTGGGAGGCTGTGTCCGGTAGCGTCCCCTGGCAGGTGCGCTGGAATAAGAGGATATGATTGGTTAGCCGGACACGTGCGTTTGGCCGACTTCATAAGATTGTTTTCTGGAAAGTTTTCTAAAGAAAGCGTTAAATCTTGAGCGAGCGCGGGGATTATGCGAGGTTTTATGACCGTCTTAGGCCCGAAGAATGCGGAGCTGTGTATTCAGAATATTTCGCTGAATGAAACAAAGAAAATATTTGATAAAACCTGAATTGTACGTGCGCGTTGAACTGTTTGTAATGGCATCCGATCGTACCCAGTTTAAAGGAGGACTTCGCGACTTAAATGAGATCTAATTACATTAAATGTTTCTACATTTAGCAGATTATAGGCCGTGGTTGCATGGCTTTCCTCCTCTATAGCGGGGTTGAAACGAGTTATGTGTTTTACACAGTTGCGTCACCGGGAATCTGTTGTTAATTGGACTTGTCAATGGACCGTGACGCTGTGTATAATGTTTAAGGTCACAGGTCTACCGACCACGCCTAAACCAGAGACCATATACACCAAAGTGCCGCTGGGAATATAAATATGACATTCAAAATTTATTTATTAATAACCGAACGATCTCTTTGATATATAAATTATAAACAAAACCAATACTGAATATTCTTAGGAAGAGAATTTATGGATTCAACTTTTTTTATTATGAGGAACGCATCGTTTTGGAGTACATGCTTACTCCTTCATCTCGTGAATAAATGTTATGAGTCAGAGAACAAATATATCCCTGTACGAACAAAAGTTATGAGATAACAAAGGTGGAAACTTAACAATGGAATCCAACAGATAATTGGCGCTGACAGGTGAAAAAAAGTTGACATCCATAAATTCTCTTTCTTATGTGTATCACTTTTAAATGCCTTTCAAAGAATTGAATATTCTAATATTGAATAAAAATTCAATATATTGAATTTCAATTCCGACTCTCACGTGAAAGACCGGAAGAAGTTACCACGCACGTGCCTTTGTTCTGTTGCCTGGCTACAGCTCGTAAAGATTGTCCTTATAAAAAACAACTTGGATACTATGTAGAACCCATAAGGAAGTTACCGTAGCATTAAATATGAAAATATTAACCTTTACTGGGATTCGAACCCTTCTTCGCCGCATGACATTTCGGTGTCACTTCAATCAACATATCAGTGGGAACAGTTTTTAAGTCATACTTTCAAATGTCATACATTATTACTAACAATGTGTGATGAAGTGTGTTTTGTTTTTGATTTGAAAAAAGCGTTGCCGTTAAGAGATATGTGAAACAGCATCTGAATGCTTCAAACAGATACACATTGCCTACAGCTGGTTGAAGCAATGGCTGAGAGATCGCGAAGTTGTTGAGAAAGTTTTGTACATGTCCACTTGACACTACAACCACCACGTGAGCAGAGCATGCAGCTTCTTCGTAGTATTAGTGCCACGCTGTATTGAAGGACTGAAGTAGTTTACTGGTAAGACACTGCATACCTCGGAGTTTTATAAGACTTACCACTGCGGGTTTAAAATGAAACACGGTCAACATGTAATATTCTTCACATAAAAATGATTTTACTTGAGCTCATTCTGATTTTCATGGGTAATAAACAAAATGGCCCCAAATTGGAGTGAAAATGGCCCCACAATTCGGAGAAAATGGACCCGAACAAAACTTACAAAAATCCTAGTTTATTTAGTTTATATAATTAATACATGGGATCCTTTTCTCCCAACTTACATTATTAATATTATAAACATAATTTCAAATAGTAATAGTAATAGTAGTAATAGTAATAACCATTATTAAATAAGCCAGAGAGGTAAGAGACTATTCTATGTAGAACAAGTATTATTATTGTTGTTGGGGGGCATTACCTAATTCACATTGATCAATAAGTGAATTGCGAACTCTGTCTGCAATATATCCAACTAACACCACAGAATCTGAATCTCCACAGGGAGACAAGCATGGGGTACTGGGGACCTGTTCTGCTCCTTGAATCTCCACAGGGAGACAAGCATGGGGTACTGGGGACCTACTTCTCCCTGAATCTCCACAGGGAGACAAGCATGGGGTACTGGGGACCTGTTCTGCTCCTTGAATCTCCACAGGGAGACAAGCATGGGGTACTGGGGACCTACTTCTCCCTGAATCTCCACAGGGAGACAAGCATGGGGTACTGGGGACCTGTTCTGCTCCTTGAATCTCCACAGGGAGACAAGCATGGGGTACTGGGGACCTGTTCTGCTCCTTGAATCTCCACAGGGAGACAAGCATGGGGTACTGGGGACCTGTTCTGCTCCTTGAATCTCCACAGGGAGACAAGCATGGGGTACTGGGGACCTACTTCTCCCTGAATCTCCACAGGGAGACAAGCATGGGGTACTGGGGACCTGTTCTGCTCCTTGAATCTCCACAGGGAGACAAGCATTGGGTACTGGGGACCTGTTCTGCTCCTTGAATCTCCACAGGGAGACAAGCATGGTGTACTGGGGACCTACTTCTCCCTGAATATCCACAGGGAAACATGCATGGGGAATCATTTGTCCTCTTGCATGACTGTAAACCAAGATGAAGTTTAATGCAGCGTTCAAAATTACTGCACTTATATAGTGAAATGTATGCATGTGTGAGTGTGGCTGCTTGTACTAATCCGCCTTCTCCTGGTTTTATAGTGCTAGCCCACTGAGATACCATATGCGGCAGCTTAACACCTGTTAATTTCTTTAGTATGATGCAGACAGAGATAGAACTATCCACCTTCTGCTCTCTCCACAAGCCCACAGAAGCGGTCTCCAGGCAGACGCTCTCTCCATAAGACCACGGAGGCAGTCTAACATACAACAAACAACAAAGAGGTAGTTGAGGACGATGCAGACTTTAATGTGTGTTACTCACATAGGGAAGAGGGAGATTCACACATGACCACCAGGTGGCGACACTAGTAGTCACACAGAGCTAGGGAAATACTGCAATATTGTGAGCACTGGCCTGAGGGTGGTCCCAGCGTGGTGCCAGGGTGGTCCCAGTGGCAGCCACTAACAGGGTAAGCCAGCCTGAGACCAGTGTTCACCATGTAAGTATATGCATAGAGTGCCATATTGGACTGAATCTCAACCAAGTGATAAAACCTACACAACATTAGATCAGAAATTTCATGAATAAAAACAACATACTCAAAGCTGTTTTAACAAAACCATGTCAACATTTGACACTTGATAAATCTGTGGACAGCCAGATGCACGCACGTCAATCATGTAACGCCTACTTGAACATTGTACACATTATCACTTTTCCAAGGTTCAGAAGTCAGCACCAATTCTCAAGCCCTAATCAGAAGCCTTGTTTTTCAAGACAACATTATGCTTCATTCTTCTTAGACGATGACTCCAACTGACAATTGGCACAGTTCCAAATCAACAACCACTCAGCACTGCTCCTGGGGCCATTGAGGGCAGCGACAGCAACTTGCAGGTCACTGGGTCAGGGGAGACAACTCACGAGGCTCGAAGCTGTGTCCCTATTTCACCTACTACTAATTTATATACAACAGCTTCTTTCTTATTGCCTGTTCTCCTTTCATTTCCCACTATTCTATATGTGTATTGATGTTGTTTGTAAACCTGACAAGTCGGACATATTGGCGGAATAAAATGAAAGTGTTATCATGGCCGTGTGCTCTAAATGGCCACCCCTTGACAAGAGACTCAGTAAACATTGAAGGAAAATGCAGAGAATATGTAAAACATAACACTATTTCACACGTAGATAGAAATAATATGTACCTGTACAGTAACATGTAGCACTAAACATGACACTGTGTAATATATAGCACTAGACATGACACTGTGTAATATGTAGCACTAAAAACAACACTGTGTGATATGTAGTATTAAACATGACACTGTAATATGTAGCACTAAACATGACACTGTGATATGTAGCACTAAATATGACACTGTGTGATATGTAGCACTAAACATGACACTGTAATATGAAGCACTAAACATGACACTGTAATATGTAGCACTAAACATCACACTGTGTGTTATGTAGCACTAAACATGACACTGTGTGATATGTAGCACTAAACATGACACTGTGTGATATGTAGCACTAAACATGACACTGTGTGATATGTAGCACTAGAAATGACACTGTGTAACATTTAGCACTAAACATGACACTGTAATATGTAGCACTAGAAATGACACTGTGTAATATTTAGCACTAATTATGACACTGTAATATTTAGCACAAAACATGAGACTGTGTGATATAAAGCACTAGACATGACACTGTGTAACTGTGTCTCTTCAAATGTTTCTTTAAACCAATGTCAGGAGGTTTACAAGTCCACCTTCAGTTACAATTGCATGTGTTTCTTAAACAATTTCCAGCCTGAAGAGAGATATACAAAAATGGTCAGTGAGAAAAGTATTTTAAATAAATAACTATTTCAAAGTCTGTTTGTGTGTGACATACCATTTATCATTAAATTTGTTCTAGGAAAAAATCAGTACTTTTAACAAGATAGTTCATACTTCATATGCTTTCTAATATAGGACACCAATCCATTCTGAGGAAGACATGCTTATCTGATGGTAAGGTTAACTAACAGCAGTACTGATATCCTTGTCATCAAATACAGTCACTTCTCGATATAGCCAAAAATACACTTTAACAATATCATTTCTTATTTCCCAAAAGGGTCAGTCAAGGGTCAGAAAAAATAAAATCTCAAAAACATCCGTGGAATAACTCTGAGAGACATAGTGTGGTGTGACTACAGGGTCTGTTTAACACAGCAATCTGAGCACTGTTGCAAGTCTATGTTAAAGTCCAGGAGATACGAGAGTCATATTGCTCTGGTGCAGGCCCTGGAACACGGCTGCCATGAGCAATGCGGAGTGTTGCTGTGGTTCAAACTTTACAGCGACATGACGCTGCACACGTTGGAGTCGCTGGGGCTCCACATAACATGTTGACAACAACTGGGGGAGATACAGGGCGTCAGCATCTTGTGCCAGCTGATCGCCGCCGCCGCCGATAACGGACATGGAATGTCGTCCTGACATACACATATCGGGTTGTGGTCCTCACACTTTGGTATCAGCACAGTGGGGCCGGAAACAGGAGTCGTAACTAAGCAACAAAATAAATACCTCAAAACTATTTCATAGCACTAAGTGGGATAAACAATTCTGAAAAAATGGATGAAATAAATAAGGAACACAGTCATAAATAAAATAGTTTCGACATTTCCATATTAAAAGAATTAATGCAACAATGAAAACAATTACACCAATGTTAAAATACCAGATAGTATTCGAGATGTATATATGTTGACATAGTGTGTACACACCACCGGTACATTTTGTAAAAACTTCAACTAGGAACAAGATCAGAGTTGCAAAGTCTTTATCCTTTTTATCAGAGATCTATTCACAAATGACCGTGTAAATATTGGGTGGTGTACAAAAGGTACTCCCAACAGTGGTATCAGACAAAAAAAGAACAGATTGTGCAAAATTAACAAAACATATTTCAGCGCCAATAGACCCAATAACCAGGTGGCAAAAACTCCACAGCAGCTCATGACCTCGCTACACATTCAGTGTAGACAATGTCAGTGACGAAGGCCACTGTGAGGGGCAGACATCTGTCCCCTTGTAACAAAGATTGAAGGCTGGAATCTTCACAGTTGAATTAAACATGCTTTGCAATAATAACTTGCAAATTTTTGTCTATGTATACAACATATTTTTCCAGAAAGTGGAACAGGGTTAGGTAAAGTAGCATCCCTGCAAGGAGCACACATGGGTGGGCCAGGACACCATGGCATCTCGAGTGTTACTTGGTTAACTTTTGAACTAAACATAATTTGCAGGCCAAATAAGACTACAAGGGATATGAGCATGTACACAAAGTACATCCCCTAGGCCCTAGAAGAGAATATCCTGTGCAACTCTGACCTTGTACTATTAACATGACATGATGTTGTATCAACCATTTCATCCATTAACTGGCAATCTGTACAACATAAGCTGGTGCCAATACCTAACACTCGATATGATAAAACCATATACATCATAAATAGCCTAAAAATCAGGGTACACAAAATACTGTTACGTGCAGTACGCATCATTCATAAGCAGGAACAACGTTCGTAAAATGTTGCTCATGGAATTAACAAAGTTTAATAATTAACAAAGTTTGTTGGTGTTGTTCTGACTCTCTACTGTGGGCTGTCAATCAACCAGTTTATTTCTGCAATAAAATAAAACCTTGGAAACAAAAACATCAATTAACAATATTCACCGGATCTAGGACCCAAACACCTGTAAACCCAGTCCTGTAAACACGGGGTTATCTCCCTTGTAGAGAGCCCTCTAGTGGTGATGCTGTGAACTACGGAGGAGGAAGGGAGCTGTGTGACATGTGGTGGTTAGAAGGAACCAAGGGCATCGTCTCCCTGGGTGTCGGAGGCCGACGGATGACAGGGAGAACGGCTACACACTATCGAACTGAGCACAGTCACCTAATAAGTACCAAAGACGACAGCAATATGGGGAAGGAGCTGGAGGAGGGATATAGAACACACATGAAGCATGGTATGCAATCTTTGATCTGATAGCACCTAGAAGTATCATCACAGGGTCATTCAACTAGCTGCTTATTGTCTTCTCCATGGCAACATCCATCATCACCTCAGCATTGGTCAATTGATGTCGATGCTTGAAGAAAGTGTACACTTCTTTGTTGACACCCTTTACCTTTAGAAATCCTCCAAAGTGCCAACATCTCACATAGTATTGAAAGGTACTGCCTTTTCACTGACGTCTAAATCAGTACCTCAGGTCAGTGTTGACTTCATCACACCTGAGCGTGTATTCACAATCCTTCATGTCGACCTATCACACTCTCCGGTGTCAAAAATCATAACTTTGAACATGTACTGTACAGGTGTTTAATGTCAATGTATTGAAGCCAAAACCATGCCTAAGTCCCTCTTAGGCAGTAGCCAAGCCTTAAGTTCCTGTTCGGCAGTAGCCAAGCCTAAAGTCCCTGCAAAATAGTAACCAGGCCTTCAGCCCCGCTAAGCAGTAACCATGCCTCACATCCCTAAGTAGTAACCAGACCTTCAGTTTCCAGTAGTAACCAGACCTTAAGCAACCAAGCATTCAGTCTATACTAGGCAGAATTTAAGCCTTCAGTCCCCTCTGAACAGAAGCAAAGCCCCCAGTTCCTGCTAAGCAGAAAACAATTTTTCAGCCTATCCAAGGAAGAGACCAAGGATCCACTCTCTGCTGTGCCCAAACCAAGTCTCCAGCCTCCCCAGGCAGGAAACAACCCCCAGTTCCTGCTTAAATGTACCCAAGCCTTCAGCCTCTGCTGGAAGCCACCAATTACTTCTTGGATGAAAGCAAACCAATCCCTTATGCATCGAGGCAACTAGCTAGCTGGGGCGAGTTGACAGACAATTCTACATACTGTCATGAGTGTACAAGCATGAGACAGATGTTACAGCTGATATCTGAATGTTTCCGCCAATGGTTAAACTTCAACTAACAAATGCAGCTTGGCCCAATTACAAGACACTAATGTAAAAATACAGTAACTGGAAAACAACAAAAAATAAACATGGTACCAATTTTTGGTCTCACATCTAACAGAATCTTTGTCAGATTTGGTAACCCATATCAACAGCTCTCCTCTATATGTGGAAATTGTCTTTCAATACACATACAAATGTACAAACATTTTATCGACATTAATTCTTCAATGGGATATGTCTTCTTAATCTATGCTATTCCCCTGGAACCCTGATATGACAAAGGAACATATTCCTTACTGCAAGGAATGGCATGAGTAGACAGATCCTGTGACGGCCTAGTCGAGAAGGGGGTACACATTGTTGCATAGTACACTACACTAGAGTGAGCTGGGCAATAGGCCCTGGGAGAAAGACAGAACACTTCAACCATGAACATGACACACATCTACATACACAGACACTAATGATGCACTCAAACCCACACAAATACACATCACTACAACTCTGAAGCACTGGAAGTTTCCTCCCTTGGGTCTCCAATGTTCTGACAAGCAGTATCATTATTCAAGTAGAGATGGGTAGCTGATGTTAGCTAGGATGTGTATGGCCCAATAACAAGCCACAGGTTTAAATCCTGGGCATGAATCAGACTTCACCAGAATTAAGGAATGGGCTGAGTAGAATGAAGTCTCCAGGATGAAGTATTCAGTCTGGAGTCCCCAGGATGAAGTCTCTAGTCTGGAGTCCCTAGGATGAAGTCTCCAGTCTGGAGTCCCTAGGATGAAGTCTCCAGTCTGGAGTCCCTAGGATGAAGTCCCTAGGATGAAGTCTCCAGTCTGGAGTCCCAAGGATGAAGTCTCTAGTCTGGAGTCCCTAGGATGAAGTCTCCAGTCTGGAGTCCCTAGGATGAAGTCTCTAGTCTTGAGTCCCTAGGATGAAGTCTCCAGTCTGGAGTCCCCAGGATGAAGTCTCTAGTCTGGAGTCCCTAGGATGAAGTCTCCAGTCTGGAGTCCCTAGGATGAAGTCTCCAGTCTGGGTCCCTAGGATGAAGTCTCTAGTCTTGAGTCCCTAGGATGAAGCCTCCAGTCTGGAGTCCCTAGGATGAAGTCTGGAGTCAGTGGAACATGGTAACAGTATTACACCAAAGCACAAAGAAGTACTTGTGGCCATGAGAACTACCCAATCACTGACTGGTAGCCAGCACCTTCTGCAGCTATCACTGGGGAACAAGGTTTGGCCATCCTAGTAATGTGTTGGTCAGAGAGTGAGGGGGGAGAGATGGGGCGGGAGGGGAGAGAGCACCATCATCTTGCATATCAACACCCAGCAGGCGTGGGAGGGGGAAGAACAGACCGGGGTTGGGAACGCCCCGACAGGACATCTACAGATATGCATACTACAGGGGACTATGCTGCCTCGATACGTCCAAACAATCTGACCGACTGCTTCACTTCAGTGCTCGACATATGGCCAACTCTTCTATAGTACCTGAACTGTTTCATAAGCCTATCTGGTACTTTAATTAAATGTTTCTTTTAAAAAATAACAAATGTGCGTCTTTCTTGTTTCAGCTTACTGTTAAGACAGTTGCTTAGGGGCCGGTCAGTTATCATGAGGGGTGGGGGTTGGGAGGGTTTCAGAAGGAATCAGGAGAGGATCATAAAACATAAAACAAATATTTGGGGAGGATCATGAAAAAATGGACATTTTATAATCAAATACAAAGCATCTTCCCGAGGCAAGGGAGTTAACTGAGTATAAAAGTCAGTTAACTCTCTTGCCTCGGGAAGATGATACAAAGTGGCCGACCCAAAGCATGACAAGAATTAGGGGAAAGTTGATTATTGCATCGAAAACCTGTGACAGCCCCCTGTAATAACTGTCCAGTTTGATTGCAGGTTTGATTTACCTCTATTAGTACTTATTGTTCTCCAACTGAAGAAATCTGCCTTAACTATCAGTTATCAAAGTACTATAGAAGGTTGGTCTTGGTGCCTGTCTCCACAATTTAGTATATTTGTCCATATTTTGTTCATGCATGATGATTATTCACTTAACAGACTGATATCACCAGGTGTTATAACCAAATCACTGGGTGCTATAGTCATGATATCACCAGGTGTTATAAACATATCAGTGGGTGTTATAGTCATGATATCACCAGGTGTTATAACCATATCACTGGGTGCTATAGTCATGATATCAACTGGTGTTTTAACCATATCACTGGGTGTTAAAGTCATGACATCACCAGGTGTTATAACCATATCACTGGGTGTTATAGTCATGATATCACCAGGTGTTATAAACATATCAGTGGGTGTTATAGTCATGATATCACCAGGTGTTACAACCATATCACTGGGTGCTATAGTCATATCACCAGGTGTTATAACCATATCACTGGGTGTTATAGTCATGATATCACCAGGTGTTATAAACATATCAGTGGGTGTTATAGTTATGACATCACCAGGTGTTATAACCATATAACTGGGTGTTATAGTTATGACATCACCAGGTGTTATAACCATATAACTGAGTGTTAGTCATGATATCACCAGGTGTTATAACCATATAACTGGGTGTTATAGTTATGACATCACCAGGTGTTATAACCATATAACTGGGTGTTATAGTCATGATATCACCAGGTGTTATAACCATATGACTGGGTGTTATAGTCATGACATCACCAGGTGTTACAACCATATCACTGGGTGCCATTGTCAGATATCACCTGGTGTTACAACCATATCACTGGGTGCCATAGTCATGATATCACCAGGTCGTACAAGCATAACAACATGTAGCATAACCATGATATCATAATATATATCACCAGGTGTTATAGCCATTATATAACTCTTGGGCAATATCCATGATTCCACCAAATGTAGACAATTGTAGAAAACTGATACATACTTCAAAGATACAGTGGTGTAACTCATCTTTAAATAACCTTCTCATAAAACAAGATGGAGATATTTAGGAACATTGTTTAACAATGTTTGACCATCACTCAACATGTTTTTGAAGCATGACCAGTGCATGTCCAGCTGGCTAGATGGTGTTCAAGTTGCACAACATGAAATGACCAATCAGATCAGAACATAACTGAGGCCTCATGGGAAAGACTGATAGACTCTTTCAAACAGCCAGTTCATGCCAGTTTGAGGGCTTTGCATAACCAATAAATAAATGATAGTATGATACAAAATATAGATAAATCAATAAGGTGTGGTACATGGAAGTGTTAAAATGCAAACAATATACAGCAAGTGTATCAAGTACCTTGTACAGTCACTAAGCCCCACATTCCAACAGGGCTACACAAAATCCATGGATAAAAATATTATACATGTTAAGAATCTCAAAATATATATAGCTTCATACACAGCGCCCGCCAATGACTGACACCGATGCAGGGAGCGCAAAGTGACGGGGATCTGGTCAGGGTCCTAAATCACAGGGACAGTCGTTTAAAACGGTAGAAAAGTCACAGACTACAGCCAACCACCGTCTTACAGGAAAAATTCACATTTTCACATGCTTTGAAAATAACGTTGGTTAAGGTTATTTCATAGGTTATTCAACAAGTCACAGGTTTCTAGAATTCACAGGTTTTGTTGGAGTCTGCATGTACAGAAAAGAACCAATAGGAGAAAAGTGCAAAGATTAACTATTCACATAAACATGTATTAACAACTTGAAGAGACACAGCTGACAGCTCTCTCGAGGTCGTCCTGACAGTGCCCCGTTTCCTCCAGGGTATCACAGCTGTAGTATTGCTCCTGGTCAGGCTGGTGTGCTCTGTTTCCATGGGTGGGTTTATTATCCATGAAACAACCAACAGGACATTGCAGTGATATGGGCGACACTCTACCAGCGACATATGTCAGCTTACAGTGGTGGGAAGTCCCACATGATGGAAGGTCAAAGGACAAGATGATGTAACAACTTCCTGTCAAGCAATGGGATGATGTTCATGGACTGACACAGTGTGAGTGAGTGAGTGAGTGAGTGAGTGAGTGAGTGAGTGAGTGAGGGAGCAAGCTGGGTTTTTACACCGATTTGAACAGTATTCCAGTTATATCACAATGCGTCAGCTTGAGGTGGGAAGGAACTGAATCGTGCACGTTTACCACTTTGGCGAAACCAAGGAGCATAGCATGGTGCTGACAAACCTAGAAACACGATGAGGGGAAGGAATAAAACTAAGATTAACTGTGTACAATGAAGGAAAACAAATATTGTAGGTGTTTCACCAGATTAGTTCAGTGTCCAGGAAACAGGCCGGCTGATGATGGGAGTGGATGAAGAGAGCAGGAGGATACAGGTGTCAGCAGGGAGACCCTATTCCCAGGTGTTACATGGTCATGTCTGCAGGGACATTTCACCAGGTGTTATAGGCATGACATCGGCTGATGTTACGAGCATGATGAAGACAGAGAGTGCTACAAACATGATATCACCACATGCTATGTGCTAGTAGGTATTATTTGCATGATGATTTTACCAGGTGTTATAAGCAGGATATCACCGGGTGCCATATGCATGATATCGGCGATGGTTATAATCAACATATCACAATGATGGATTTCACCAAGACGTTACAAGCTTGATATCAACAGGTGTTGCAAGTATGATGATTACACTGGGTGTTCAGAGCATATCAGCGGGTGTTGCAAGCAGGCAGATTTCACCGGATGTTACGCGCATGATATCAATGGGCGTTATAAGAATGATGATTTCACCGGGTGTTACGAGCATGATTTCACCAGATGTTACGAGCATGATATCAGCGGGTGTTGCGAGCATGATGATTTCACCAGATGTAACAAGCATGATTTCACCAGATGTTACGGGCATGATTTCACCGGATGTTACGAGCATGATTTCACCAGACGTTACGAGCATGATTTCACCAGATGTTACGAGCATGATATCAGCGGGTGTTGCGAGCATGATGATTTCACCGGATGTAACAAGCATGATTTCACCAGATGTTACGGGCATGATTTAACCGGATGTTACGAGCATGATTTCACCAGACGTTACGAGCATGATAGCAATGGGTGTTATAAGCATGATGATTGCACCGGGTGTTGCCGGCATGATGATTTCACCGGATGTTACGAGCATGATTTCACTGGATGTTACGAGCATGATTTCACTGGATGTTACGAGGATATCACCGGGTGTTTTTAGGGCATGATTTCACCGGATGTTACAAGCATGATATCAGCGGATGTTACGAGTTTATCAGCGGTCATTGCAAGCAGGATGATTTTACCGGATGTTACAAGCATATCAGTGAGTGTTATGATCATGTAGATTTCACGGATGTTACAAGCATGATATCAGCGGGTGTTGCAAGCATCACAATTTCACTGGATGTTATGAGAACAGCGATTTGACAAGATGTGAACAGAATGATATCAACGTGTGTTTAAGCATGATGATTTCACCGGGTGTTATGGGTTTCATAATTTCACTAGATGCTATTAACACAATCATATCACCGGGCACAAAAAAAATGAATCTATCACCTGGACGCAAAAACATCCATCTGCAGGTAAAACAATCATAAAACCTGTGTGACCAGCATCACACCACCGGGTGTGACTAGCATGATGATGATATCATTGACCGATTCACACACGATAACACCAGGTGAGAATATCACCTGAGACCTCAAGCAAGACGTGCAGTGAGCAGGACAATATGGATTTAGAAACACAAACAGTGCTCAGTAAATCTGGTTTTGATTCAAAACATATATGCTTATTTGCATTCTTTTCTGTACACCCAGACAATGATGATTTGATATTTTGGCAGATCCCTACCATTTGTGTGGATCACGCAGTCTCTCATGTCAAACTGCATATAGATTTTTCATACCATCTGAACAGATATAGGTAAAGCTATATAAACTTGAAGCCAAGTCCAACATCAATATACAATAACAATAAATTATGCTGACCGACTAACACCACATGGCAGGATTATCATAAAGTCTATCTCACAACACTGGTACTGACACAAGAAAGATGGCAGACGTAGCTGGACACGCAGTGACGAAATACAGGAACTCCATTATACAAACATTGTGCTCCATCTCGATACACTGCACGGAACTGCATGGAACACGCCTATACAAATGCAACGTTCCGCGCCAGTGGATATCGGTCATTCAAGATGGCGAAGGCAATGTGAGGAGGGAAGAACACCGCACTGCAAGGACAGTTATGGCATGATGGGAAGGATGTCACCCAACGTGTGGACGATATGGCATTGCACCATGGTATGGCATGATGACGAACATGATGATGAGACACTGCTGCCAGAACTATGCATGCTGCCTACATCTAGCCACGGCAAACCAAGCTCACGCGTGTCTGCAACATGGCCTTGAGAAAGCATGACCTTGACCTTGAAGGTCATTGAGGTCAATCACTGTGTCAGATGAAGATGGAAGCAGCCAAAGCACAACTGGTGTCACACGACGGTCAAACAATATAGTCATATATTCAAATGTATATGTATAATATATATAGATATTTCTAATATTCAAAATGGAAAGACAAGATAAATATTTTTAACGAGGCATTTAAAGCTCGTTATCATTGATGGAAAGTTTATGCAATAATAAATTAATGGCTAGCGCCTCCGTGGTGTAGAGTATTTATATAACAGCTACTAGTAGCCATGGACTTGATCTTGTCACCGGGTTCAAGGTCGTTGCCATAGTGTCACGGAATGAGATCGAATGTCTCAGCGTACAGGTTGTGAGGGAAACTCATTTGTCCTTTGAGTGACTCCAGCATGCGTCTGTGTTCCACGCCCAGCTCCCGTAGACTGGAGATGCTCATGAGGAGTCGGGGGAACAGGCCCACCTCGTCGGGGTGGCAGGAGGAGATCTCCGCCTCCAGCGCTTGGATCAGCATCTCCTGCAGTCTCATCACCTTCTCACGGTTCTTCAACCCAGGCCGATCTGCAGCACAACAACAACAACGACATGTTAATACACAATGCCATTTAGAAAGTGGTCAAATGTAACAAATGCAGCGATAGAAATTGGCATTAGTCCTGTAGTCCTTGCCAAACTGCCCATTAGTTACGGTATCATAAGGACTAGTAGAAATTTGCCATTTTTAAGGGTTTTTCTATATGTTATCATTATGAGGACTAGTGGACTAAATATGTTAGTTTCTACCCCTGCAAATTGTTAATTTGGGATAACACCTTCTTAGTAAAGTAGAGATTCCAGTACTTGTGGGGGCTAACTCCCCTGCGGGATTCAAACCCACACTGCCAGATTGAGGCACCCAATCACCAGCACACAAAGTCAGCGATCCAACCAACTCAGCCACTGACCAAGGCTTCCACAAAAATGAAAGTCCGACAACTGTAAGTCTTGATCATGACCTGTACACAGTTCAACACTTGGTGACCATCATCAGAGTCTGCCAGAACAAGAATGTGAGTTCGACACATCCAAGTTCAAGATGGCAGGTTTCCAATGTCTTTAGTGAAACACAATACATGTATCTGAAGTACAGATATTTCAACAACAGAGGTGATCTGTGCTGTCTGGCTGCAAGCTAGCCTCTCACCTGGCTGAGTATGTACCATCGTATATCAATTGCATGGAATACCTTCACTGACCCACCTGGGGAGATGGGGACACATGCACTGACCCACCTGGGGAGATGGGGACACATGCACTGACTGACCTGGGGAGATGGGGACACATGCACTGACTTACCTGGGGAGATGGGGGCACATGCACTGACTTACCTGGGGAGATGGGGACACATGCACTGACTTACCTGGGGAGATGGGGACACATGCACTGACTTACCTGGGGAGATGGGGACACATGCACTGACTGACCTGGGGAGATGGGGACACATGCACTGACTTACCTGGGGAGATGGGGGCACATGCACTGACTTACCTGGGGAGATGGGGACACATGCACTGACCCACCTGGGGAGATGGGGACACATGCACTGACCCACCTGGGGAGATGGGGACACATGCACTGACTTACCTGGGGAGATGGGGACACATGCACTGACTTACCTGGGGAGATGGGGACACATGCACTGACCCACCTGGGGAGATGGGGACACATGCACTGACTGACCTGGGGAGATGGGGGCACATGCACTGACTGACCTGGGGAGATGGGGACACATGCACTGACTGACCTGGGGAGATGGGGACACATGCACTGACTTACCTGGGGAGATGGGGACACATGCACTGACTGACCTGGGGAGATGGGGACACATGCACTGACCCACCTGGGGAGATGGGGACACATGCACTGACTTACCTGGGGAGATGGGGACACATGCACTGACTTACCTGGGGAGATGGGGGCACATGCACTGACTGACCTGGGGAGATGGGGACACATGCACTGACTGACCTGGGGAGATGGGGACACATGCACTGACTTACCTGGGGAGATGGGGACACATGCACTGACCCACCTGGGGAGATGGGGACACATGCACTGACTTACCTGGGGAGATGGGGACACATGCACTGACTTACCTGGGGAGATGGGGGCACATGCACTGACTGACCTGGGGAGATGGGGACACATGCACTGACTTACCTGGGGAGATGGGGACACATGCACTGACTTACCTGGGGAGATGGGGACACATGCACTGACTTACCTGGGGAGATGGGGACACATGCACTGACTTACCTGGGGAGATGAGGACGAGAGCGCTGAAGAGAGACTTCTCTGACTCCTGGAGTTTGAAGGCATTGAAGCGGATACACAGCGTGAACAGAAGCTCCACAAAGTGCTCCCCGAGCGGGAACCCTGTCTTCATCTCCTCGCGGGTGACCAGGGAGTTATTCCCCAGCAGGTAGATGGTGTTGGTGTCGACATCCACGAAGGGAGCACACACCACGCAGGCCACCTGGAAACAGGAGAAGGTACATACTATTACCTTCTGGATGCGGGACGGTCGGAGATAATCAGTGAAATCCTGCATCTTGGTTGCATGAGTTCACGATCCTGCTAGGACATGGTGCGATTTATTCTTCAAACAAATTCAAACAATGACTGACTGTCGTGCCATAGTACGTAACACAGTCATCGTCACATCGCTGGACAGGCTGAGGCGTGGTCTATGTTGTTGACAAACACCGGCCTTCCATAAAAGTAAACGTTTGGTATACAAGGAGCATAATCGAAACAGGAAATTACAAATATGGTTATTAATCCCACAATACAGCATTCAGTATGTCATGGTGTAACTAAACATAGTACCATATTTTCTTGAGTATAGTGCGCACACAAGTATAATGCGCACCCTCCCTCTAGCAGATTCAGTATTTTAATGAAAATAAAATTTGAATATTATGCACAGAAAATTACACCATACCCCTTCAGCGAATTCCGGTAAACGAACGGGTGATAAGAAAATTAGGATACATGTATCAATTGGCCACTATGCACCAGTCGACAGCTGCGTTTGTTTTCGGTTACGGCACGTTTACGCGATGACACGGAATGGAGGCAAGGTATTATATTTTTCATAACAATGATTTAAATGTTAATTGATATTCGTTCAAAACATCAACTGGAGCAATAAATTATTGGTAGATTGTAATTTAATTGGATTTCTCTTTTTAGAGTTGTGTCATTTGAGCTGGACACAAAGCAAAGGTGTATGGTGCCGAATTTGTCAGGACATTAAACAAAGCAGACCAGATTGAATACACTGGGAAATTTAAGTAGTCTGGCATCCCATTACCTCGAAGCATCCTCCCTTGATAAGACTGATCTGATCGTCCTGGTCGAGCACAGCGAAGCCGGGGATCTTCTTTGCAAAGATGACGACGTCCTGGATGGTTTTGTTGAGCAGGAGCTGAAAGTGCTGCCAGCAGATCTCCCCCGTCATGTTGCCTGACACCTGCCATCATAGAAACCACGGTTAGCCACACAGCAGGTGTTGAGCTGATTACGTAGTATTAAAATAAGGACATCTTGAGACATCCCAAATTTGAAAAAAACACCTGGTGAGAATAAGGAACCTTGTACTTTCATATTGAAATTGAACACTGTAAATTCAAAATCTGTATCCTGAAAGTCGAGTCTGTCATCAGACTGTGTCATTACTGCATCATCAAGAAAGAGCCATGAATTATAACATTGTATTGTTGACTAATGTATTTATACGAATTGACTTCAAGAATATTTCAAGGAGTTATTAACGTAAAGACCGATGCACATATTTTTGTACACAAAGTATGCACGTCAGTATTTACCTCAATAAACGCAAACTAATTTTGAAGTCCTTTCTTAAAGCACCCAATATTTCAACAGATAAAAAACAATTTGCATTAATATATACATGTTTTCTATGTTATATCATAGATTTGGAAACATTTACATTGGAACAAAAAGGTTCTGACAAAACAGACCGTTACACAAATGACTGATAGAGTTACTTCCCTTTGAACATGTTGCTGCAAGCTCCTCACAGCGATAGTACGTTCCCGGAGCTCTATACTATCTCTATACTATCGCTGCCACCAGTCAAAATTCCCCACTGTGAATAGGTGGCCACAACCATGCTTGGCGTTGAACTCGCAACCGAATGACCGTTATGTTTACAAACAAGTGACGACTGTCTTGACGCCCAATACACTTATCGCTGCTAAATTACTTTCTTCGTTTGTCAATTTGAATTTCTGTTTCATTAAAACTATCATGTTATTGATATAGTAAGAATGTAAGGGAGAAGTTGGTTGATTTTCCGTTAGTCTGCAATCTCGAACCAATCTGATTATCAAAACAACAAAGTAAATTCATCTGGAAAACATGGTCAGTCGTAAACCTTTTCAAATTGAAATATGATGGCATTCCCAAAGACATAAACAAAAGTATAAACGTTACTACATATGGGGTTGGAGGGCAAATTTCAAGATTCTTGAAATGGCCGCGACCACACTGGTGGCAGCGATGTTTCCGAGAGTGTAACGCAGGTGTCACGCGCTGGGAAGGAGCTTGATGTTGCTGTCCAGAGAGTTGGCGGAGAGTTACCTCCCTTCCATTGTGTAGCTTCTCACAGTGGCTGCTTACCTGTTTGTTGTCCGAGTTGAGATGTTCCGTGACAATTCGTCCAATCATGCGTTCCATAGAGTTCTGCCCCTGGTATTCTCGGAGCTTCTGTGACATCTCGCCAAGCCTCACCTTGAGAAGTGTAAACGTCGTCACAAATGATTCTTGTATTTTGGATATCATGCTGGGGACAGTGAGTTTGGGTTCCTCCTCCATTCTCCGCGAGTACATATTGGTCCGACTCTTGTTGACTATTGGTGTAACCACCGCTGTGTGCTCAATTGGTGACTGGTCATGTGACACTGGCACCCGACTGTAGTGGCTTGTCATGGGTGTGTCTTGGTAAGAGTTAGTGTCTGGCCTCACCGGCCACTGGTCATTAGATATGCGTCTTTGTTTACTTAAGTTTGTACTCTGTTCCATATGGTTGACTTTTTGGAATTTTTCTTTGGGTTCTATTGGTTCATGTCTTTGGATAATTTCGGTCTGACTATCTTCAGTTGGGTAATACGGTCGCTTTTTGATTGGGCTACGACTAATCAGCTCTTCTGACTTCTTACGAAGATCAAGCGTCAGGTTCTGAACGATCACAGATGGTTGTTGACTGTGTGGACTGGGGATGTCCATTGTCCCGAGGGACGTGCTGGAGGAGACAGCAGGCGGCAGCATAGACGTCATTGCCGGGACAACAGTGGACATCACACACTCAGTGCCACCATCTTCTGTTTTGATGTAGAACTGCTGAGAGGACAGCGACGGCAGGGTGTAGTTGATCTGCGGCGGTGTGCGCAGAAGGGAGCCCATCACGGAGTGGGTGCTGGAGATGCTGCTGCTGCTGCCGCCGCTGCTGCTGCTACTTAGGGGAGGCTGCATCTGTGGCTTCGTCATTGACGCCACTGCCAAGAGCCGTGACGGTACAGCCGAACGGGGAGAGATTGTTGAGGGAATTGTACTCACACTCACTGTTGGCTCTGCAATAGTAAGACGTGGGGAAAGAGGCAGGTCAGATACGCTTGGCGATGACCTTGAGACAAGTGGTGATGACCTTGGTGGGTAATCTGGTTCCGGCTGAGGTAAGTGTTCCTGCACTGACTCCCTCCGTTCAACCTTCAGCATCAGTGGCTCGTGCTCTGATGCAATGTGATACTGATGGCTGGATTCTGCCTCACTCATACTGTTGTTGCTGGTGCTTAAACTGTTGTTGCTGGTGCTGCTGATGTTGTTGCTGTTGCTGTGTAGGTCGTTGGTGTTGTCCATCTCTAGTGACTGTTCGGCAACACGGGGCTGACCAATGAGATGGTTCAGATTCTGTCTCTGTTTCAGTAGCATGGAGAGGGCGGCCATCGAGGACTGGTTGTCCGCAGGGAAGTTGAGGCTGCTGATGACCATGGTGTTGAGGGCGGGGTTGCCGCTGGGGCTCTGCGTGGAGCACTCGGGATTCAGGCTCAGCAGTCCGTGAAGCGCCTGCTCTGTCTGGGTGTCTTCTATACTACGGATCATTTCTCGCATCTTCCGAGACCGACGGCCAAGTTTTGCAGCTTCAATCAGAAACATTTGTATAAGAAGGCATTGTACATTAAATGTTAAAACCAAAGGAATGAATTAATAATTTGATGGTTACCTAGAATTTTTTTTTTTTTTTTTTTAAATAGAAAAGAAAGAAAAAAAATACCAAGGCACTGTAGCTCACCTGAATATATAACCAAACGTTTCTGTTAGCACTGATATACAAATACCGAGAACATAAAACAGAACACACTACTTTGTTTGTTGTTTAACGCCACACTCATCAATATTCCAGCTATATGACAGCAGTCAGAACACACTAAAATTCCAATGACTTGAACAAAGTATGATGTTATCAAAAGAGAGACCTAAGTGCCAAATTTCTGCTTCCTCAGTCTGTCAATTTCAGAAATGTTTATAAAGCTAAATTTGATTGAGAAAAATCAAAGAGCATGATCAAAAGTGTAAAATAGAGTAAAACAAACAAATATATTTGTAGAGTGCCACTACTAAATCAACACAACAAATGTCACTTCTGAATAATGGTTGAGCAATGGTCATATTGAAACTATGGTCTCAACCTCTTGTACAGATTTAGGTGTAATCACTGGTGGGGACAAGCATCTTGTAACTTCTAGAGTTTCTACTTCATTGGTTTCATTGGTTTTTGAGAAGATGTTTTCAAAGAGGCCATGACATAAGCTCGCTTGACTTTTAATATCAGTGCTGTCAGGTGAGCTCATGATGTCTGACCAGTCGCCAAATGGCTGAAGCATTGCCTATCTGATAGAAACTAACATTTTCAGGCCACTAGTCCTTATAATGATAACATATAGCAAAACCCCCCAAAATGGCAAGTCCTTATGATATCTTATCTTTATGGCAGTTTGGCAAGAACTACAGGACTCATGCTTATTTCTAACACTGCGCCTTATTCATGTTACGGACAAGAACTGTGCAAGAGTTACCTGCTCTTGACATTCCAAGAGCCAAGCACTTCTGGAGACGGCAATACTGACATCGGTTCCGGGTTTGGATGTTTATCTCACAGTTCTTGTTGTAGAAACACTTTTTCCGAGCTGGGTCACCAACATTTTGCAGTGCTCGACGAAAAAATCCCTAAAACAGGCAAAATGAACCATTCTGTAACAATTCATTGCTGTTACCACTGAAAGCAAAGTCCCTCATGCATAACACTTTCTGGAGGTTTTCAGGTAATTAATTAGCATTGAGATATACACTTGAATAGTTTCTGGTAAACTAGTATTGACAAGTACACTTGAATAGTTTCTGGTAAACTAGCCTTGACAAGTACACTTGAATAGTTTCTGGTAAACTAGTATCGACAAGTACACTTGAATAGTTTCTGGTAAACTGGTAGCGACAAGTACACTTGAATAGTTTCTGGTATACTAGCCTTGACAAGTACACTTGAATAGTTTCTGGTAAACTGGTATCAACAAGTACACTTGAATAGTTTCTGGTAAACTGGTATCGACAAGTACACTTGAATAGTTTCTGGTAAACTGGTATTGACAAGTACACTTGAATAGTTTCTGGTAAACTAGTATCGACAAGTACACTTGAATAATTTCTGGTAAACTAGTATTGACAAGTACACTTGAATAATTTCTGGTAAACTAGTATCGACAAGTACACTTGAAAAGTTTCTAGTTAACTAGCCTTGCCAAGTTGACATGCAAAGTTTCTGGTAAACTAGCATTACTAAGTATGTTGTAGCCACTCAACATTGAAACAATGTGATTGCTTTGAATTGATTTTACCATCAATCCTTGTGTTAACTTGACTGTTACATCCACAGTAGGTACAAACACTATGTCCTGGTCTAGTTGAGGCTGGGACATTGAACAGAGGACCAATGATTTCCATTATTCCACAGCTGGATATCAAGGACATGAACAAGTCATTCATAAAACCGTGTCTCTTAAAATAATTGATTTGAACCAGGTGTGCCAACGCTTTTTACTGATTATATCATTACATCACTGTGGCATCAGGATTGAACATGTATTAATGGGGTGGTGGGGTAGCCTAGTGGTTAAAGCTTTCTCTTGTATTCCCGAAGACCCTGGTTCGAGTCCCCACATGGGTACAATGTGTATACCCCTAATATGATACTGCTGGAATATTGCTAAAAGCAGTGTCAAACCGTACCCACGCACTATTGCCACACAAAGAGGCAAATAGCCATCAGTGGTGTGAATCACTCCTGACAAGCATTCAGCAGCAACATAGACTTGCACAAGTCTCTAAGGCAATAATTATTACTTTAAATAATAAGTTCTTGATTATGTATATAATAAGAACAAGTTGTCCCTATATGAGACTGGAGTCCTTCTGTCCACATATCTAGACGTACCTATTAGGATAGAATTACTAAACATCCATGGACTTTTCTTTCAGTACAGCCTTGGAGCAAGGCTAGCAGCAACTTTGAGATACAATGTACATCCTTCATGGCGCACAACACAGGAATAATGCCCCTAACTTATCTAATTGAGCAATTTTTTATCACTGAGTGATATTGTCTTGTAAGTAATATAATGTAATTTTGACGATGGTAATTGAATGTCGTCAAAGGTCCCAGTTCTGCCTAAAGCTGTGCGATGTTCAGACATAAACAAATCAGTGGGAAGTATTTACAGTGCTACTTTCTCATGTCACAGATATGTCCTTGCTTTGGGGCAGGACATCAAATTAATGATATTACTTCTTCATACAAATTAATATCTGAAACGGAACCGGGTGTGAGTCTTGTGCTGACAGAGGTTTTAACAATATCCACTTTCACTAATTGACACAATCCATAAGACAAACCTCCCAGCCATTACTGGTATTTACGGCCACACACGGCTGCTGGGAGGTCTGATGATAAGTAGGAGGAGATGGGATGGCGATGGATCACCTGTCTGCAGCCTGCATGTGGGCGGTGGGGACGTGGAGCGGGGTGGTGCCAATGTTTGGCCAGGGTTGGGGATATTGGGTGGGGTGGTGCCAATGTGTGTCTGGTGGTGGTAATGTGTGGCCGGTGGTGGGGATGTGGGGCACCACCCCGCCCAATATCCCCACCACCCGCCAAACATTGGCACCACCCCACCCAATATCCAAACCACCGGCCAAACATTGGCACTACCCCACCCAATATCCCCAACCCTGGCCAAACATTGGCACCACCCCACCAAATATCCCCAACCCTGGCCAAACATTGGCACCACCCCGCCCCACATCCCCACCACCGGCCACACATTACCACCACCAGACACACATTGGCACCACCCCACCCAATATCCCCAACCCCGGCCAAACATTGGCACCACCCCGCTCCACGTCCCCACGTTGGTGGTGCCAATGTTTGGCTGTGGGTGGGGATATTGGGAAGGGTTGGTGCAGATGTGTGGCTGTCGGTGGGGATATTGGGAAGAGTGGTGCCAATGTTTGGCCGGTTGTGGGGATATTGGGCGGGGTGGTGCCAATGTTTGGCTGGTGGTGGGGGTATTGGGCGGGGTGGTGCCAATGTTTGGCGGGTGGTGGGGATATTGGGCGGGGTGGTGCCAATGTTTGGCCGGTGGTGGGGGTATTGGGCGGGGTGGTGCCAATGTTTGGCGGGTGGTGGGGATATTGGGCGGGGTGGTGCCCATGTTTGGCCGGTGGTGAGGATATTGGGCGGGTTGGTGCCAATGTTTGGCCGGTGGTTGGGATATTGGGCGTGGTGGTGCCAATGTTTGGCCAGTGGTGAGGATATTGGGAAGGGTGGTGCAGATGTGTGGCCATGGGTGGGGATATTGGGAAGGGTGGTGCCAATGTTTGGCCAGTGGTGGGGATATTGGGAAGGGTGGTGCAGATGTGTGGCCGTGGGTGGGGATATTGGGAAGGGTGGTGGCAATGTGGTTGGCATGTGGGGTGTGGTCGTGGTAGGTGGTGATGTGGATGTGGACAAGGTTTGGGGAAGAAAGGAGACAACACTCTCAATGTTCCTATCTCCTGTTGGAGAAAGAGAGTTTGGTTTAACACTGCTTTGCAAAGTATTTCAATTACATCAACTTGATATATAGTATGAGAAACGGGGTGTGCAGTGGGTATTCATCCTCAGATGACAAGTGCTTGCTGCCCCACGATGATGGTCAACTCACCTTGCACCCTTCGCACGCCAGCACTCCGTAGTGGACGCCGGACGACTTGTCCCCACACACCAGACACTTGAGGGCGGGCTGGGCCACCTTGGGGGCACCTGCAGGGAGAGACACAAGCCATGAAACATGGGTAACATTCAGGAGAGGAGTGGGGCAGACAGAATTTTAGTTACACCACGGTCAGCTCCATGAACAAAGAAAGCCTGAAGTCACACAGGTTGTACGTGATTAGGCTGAAATGGAATGTTTTTTAAAGTAGGCATTGGTGAGTCACTTAAATCCAGCACATCTGTCATCTGTATTGCCAACATGAAGCATACTCTGTTAACCATAGAATGGGATGCTTGACAACTGACATTGTACAAAAAGGACAAGTTCAACATGTGCCCAGTTGTGAATGTTGCTGTTCTTGGGTAGAAAATACACAACAGTGTTCCCGCGGCATGACTTTTGTTTTCAATTCAAAACAGAAACATTGTCCCACCTCCCTCTTAACTTTTGAGAAAAAAGTGAAACATTTAATTGTTTTATGCCTTACGACTTGGTTATACCTGCAAGTATGGTAGTAATAATAATAATAGTAGGCCATTGATATCGCGCATATTTCCACACCACACAGGGCAATGCTTAAAGCACTATTATTATCCCCGTCACTGGATCAGTGTGCTGTCAACAATCATTTTCAGCTCCCTGGGGAGTACACAACCCAAGCTGCCCGTTAGGCGCTAGAAGGTTAACAACTACATTGCCATCACATGCTCCCGGGTACCCATTCACTGCTGGTTGAACAGAGGCACAAACCAAGTACAACACTCATCGGAGACCCACATTAAAAGTCATAGGAACACGTTTCACATGATAGAGATGGAAAACTTGATTATAACCCACTCAGCACTAATTCTAACCTGCAACTCCTACGGGTTGTCTGGCTATTAAAGGGGTTACCACTCCCAATTTGTTTGATATCATTTTCTATAGGTTTTCTAGACAGATTCCTACATGTCAAGCCAGGAGTATCTTCAATCAATATAAACTGATAAACACTCAGTATATGATTAACACTCAGGGCCGCGGCAACATCCAACCTGCAGACCTGTCCCAGGACAGTAAAAACTCATTTGTCCGGAAACAGATTATTGACCAAAAATGTTGTTTTTATCATGAAATTGGTCTGTATGACATCAAGGCACTGTATGACATCAAGGCACTGTATGTCATCAAGGCACTGAATGACAACAAGGCACTGCATGACACAAAGCACTGTATGACATCAAAGCACTGTATGTCATCAAGGCACTGTATGTCATCAAGGCACTGTATGACACAAGGCACTGCATGACACAAGGCACTGTATGACATCAAGGCACTGTATGACACAAGGCACTGCATGACACAAAGCACTGTATGACACAAGGCACTGCATGACACAAGGCACTGTATGACACAAGGCACTGCATGACACAAGGCACTGTATGACACAAGACACTGCATGACACAAGGCACTGCATGACACAAGACACTGTATGACACAAGGCACTGAATGCCAACAAGGCACTGCATGACACAAAGCACTGTATGACACAAGACACTGTATGACACAAGGCACTGTATGACACAAGGCACTGCATGACAAGGCACTGCATGACACAAAGCACTGTATGACACAAGGAACTGTATGACACAAGGCACTGTATGTCATCAAGGCACTGAATGACAACAAGGCACTGCATGACACAAGGCACTGTATGACACAAGGCACTGCATGACAAAGCACTGTATGACACAAGGCACTGCATGACAAATCACTGTATGACACAAGGCACTGTATGACACAAGGCACTGCATGACACAAGGCACTGCATGACACAAGACACTGTATGACACAAGAAACTGTATGACACCAGGCACTGTATGACATATGGCACTGTATGACACTAAAGCACTGTATGACACCATAATAACCACCGTATGATGTCATCACTGCTGATTAGATATTGAGGAAAGTATGTTAATGCACAGGTTATGTAATGATAAATGCTATACACAAGTTATATCATAACATGTAATACACAAACTGTTATAACATGTTATACACAAGTTATGTTATAACATATTTCATACACAACCTGTCATGAAGTATGTTATACACAAGTAATATAATGTCTCCCAATTTAACATGAAATTTGACAAAAGATACCTGGAAACAAATTATGCCAGCTTTCATGATTAATTGATTGTTTAAAAATTGAAAGAAACCAGTCAACTATGAAACCACTTAATGAGAAAAACACCAGCACAGATAACATCATCATGATGTGGAATGACTCGACAGCACCATGCCCTCAAATTACAGGGTATCAGAACCAAGAGTACTGTAATCAAATCTCAACAGTGGGGAATTTGTCTTCAAGCCATCACGGCAGTAGGTGATGAATACCCATGTGGAATTGTTGAAGACTTGGCTGACATTACAGAAAATACACTGACAAGTACATAATGAATTCTAACGGTTATTACTTTCTATGATGAATGGCTATGTTTGAGTCAACTCAGTTGTGAGGAAACTAGTACTTGTCTGTGTGTTCCCATAAACATGACCCAGACTGCCACCCTCTGGGGGAGGGGGGGCTTTGTCACCTAGGTCAGGTAGGTGTCTCTCTATCTCACCACCCTCACCCCTCCCTCCCCACCCCCCAGGGCCTGTGAGTGATGACTCCAAGGAGTGAGTGTCACTAGGGTCAGACTGATGACTCACCATTGCCCACCCCCACCTCTGCCACACCCCACCAGGAGTTGACCCAAGGGCGTGATTGTCACCAGGGGCAGACAGGTGTCTCACCATTAACCCCAGGGGGTGATTGTCACCAGGGACAGACGAATGTCTCTCTACTCTCTCCTGGCACAGAGGTTTATATTCTATCTCATCATAACCTCGGATATTTGACCACTGATAAATCATCCAATCTGAAGCCCCATTAGGAAATCTACAACAGAGTCTTCAGTCAGGCTTGACCTTGTTCTTCATCACATGATTGCAAGAGTAATACATATTCTTTGCGGATACCACATTCAGATAAACATTGACCTAAAGTTGGCTTTATAAATGTTCAAAATGCTATCCTATTTTGAGTTTAAATCATTCAAATTTGCTCGGAAAGTGTCATCACGTCATCACCTACAGACAAAAAGTCAATGCATGGTTAACATGACGTCACAGTGCCTGAAGAGAACAGCCGTAAATGTCAAGCTATTTCAATGTTATTGAATGTTAATATCACTTTAGTTTGGTTTGTGATTCATTCCTAAACATACATAGTCACACTTGTTTGAACGCTCTAAGGACAACATTACAGAACTTCGCTAAAGTTATTAAATTAAATAAATCACAGAAATATTTGTTTGTTTGTTGTTTCGCTGCAGTCAACAATACTTGAGCTGTAAATTGATTGATTTGTGTTACAAACAGCATCCCATGCCATCACGGTACAGTAACACACAATCAACCACGTCACCGAGTCACACCACCGGATCCAAACTAGCCAACAGTGATTGAGTGAGTTTGGTTTTACGCCACTTTTAACAATATTCCACCAATATCACAGCGGGGGACACCAAAAATAGGCTTTACACATTGTACCAATGTCAGGAATCGACCCCCGTCTTCGGCGTGACGAGCGAATGGTTAAACCACAAGGCTACCTGACCGCCCCAACTAACCAACAGAGCACCGGTGACACTCTAATAAAGGTCCTGGTGAGATATTATGTTTGAGAAATAAGTCATCATTACTGTCCTATTGAGGAATACACAAATGATTTATGAATATTCCTACATACATATTAAACCACAATATGTGAATATTCCTCCATACATATCAAACCCCAATGATAAGTGAAAATTCCTACACACATAGCAAACCACAATATGTGAATAAATGGCAGGTTGGAAATAATTTTCAAAATGGGATACAATGCAACCATATTGTAGTTATTCAAGGAGTGCACAATTATCAACTAATAACATCATTAAGCCTTTCAGTAAAATATACATACATCATTACTGAAGAAACTAGTGTATGTTTTCATTCTGTTTCAACAACTTTGTAGCAATAACGGACATTACAATTTACTTGACTGAAAGTTGTTTTGCTTACCAGTTGGGGTATAGCCAGTTGGATGCAAATTCTGTGCAAAATCCATGCTTAAGTTTTACCATGTTTTGGTTGATATATGTAAACCTCAGCATGTGTGGTGAGTGATGACATTTTCAATGTTGTTTGCATGAACAAACCCCCCAAGCTTGTCGTTTCGAACATGACCTGTGATTTTGCAATTTTCAATAAGTCATACTTTCGTTCGTAATGGTAATTTTCAATCTGCAGTATCACGGTGACAAATCCATCCAACTATTCTACTGATCAGATTGTTTAGCTTACACAGAGGGCAAACAGATATATTGTTAGAGGGTGAATCTGATTATAATGTAACACAACTCCTTCAAACTGCAGCCCCGAGTCACCTGATGTTAAAGGTATGGTCAGGGCTGGTAGACTGTCCGAGGCTTCCTAGGGGTGTCCAGTCTGCTGTCACTTTTCTGCTCATACTGAATACAGCAATAATGAAATAACGTATAAGCGCCCATGGCGATATTTGCTAATATATTAGCTAGTGAACAATACCAATTTGCACCCCTTCCGATTGATCAATGTACACAAGACTTATGTATTCGTGTATAATACACACTCGTGCGTTATATGCACCCTTAATTATGGGCAATTAAATTCTGGAAAATATATCTGTCGTATATGATACACACATACTTTTCTTTTGTATCATTTCAGGCTGTCAGCATAAACCACGAAATTTTCGATCTTTTTAACTCTGTTATTTTTTTCTCGCCAAAATAATTTTCTAATAAGAGCCCCCTATTTCTAATTTTGAGAGCACCCTGGGCGCTTATTACGTCGAATACGGTACTAGCGCTACAATAATGATAATAAACTTTTGAAAGCTCTGGCTGACACTTTGGTTTGAATGAGATTAGCAAGTATGAAACACTCAATAACATGGATCATAAAAACAATACATATCAACTTTCT